TTCTCCAAAGCATTATGTTGTTTAAGATGCATATCATATGAATATTAAATCACGAGAAGCAGCCAGATAAGACTACCAAATTGTCATGGAGATTTCTCCGTGACGGGAACTAAAAATATACACAAATACACTCAAACATGTTATATCTCGCCCATATGCTTTTCATTCGGCTTTCCTTTTTATGGTATTGCGAGTTCTGTTCCAAGCACTTGGGAGCCACGGAGCATGTGACACAAAGGAAGGAAGTAATGCATACCAGTTCCATTCTGAATCATGCTGAGAATTATTTGGAGGTCTTATGAACCAAACCCTTCCCAGAGGAGGCCTTTGCCTTCTGGGCCTGGAGTTACAAGCAGACTTCCACATGAGCCTGGCATTTATGTGGGTTCTGGGGATCTGAACTCTGGTCGCTATACTTGTGCTGAAGTATTTTAACCAATGAGCCATCTAACTAGAGCAACTTCTTCATACATTCTGAAATAATATATTGACTTTCAAGGTTAGTGAGTGCCAAATATTATTGACAAGTAAATTATAAAACATCCATTTTAACTTGAAGCTTCAGGGCCCAATAACCTCTTACTATCCACTTTATGAACCGTAGCTCAAAGGGGAACTCACGTTGGTGACTGACATGTCTTCTGACAGTGAGCAACGTGAGAAACAGGAGGCCATCCTTGCTAGTGGAGGATGGGAAAAGGAGCAAATCTGGATAGGAAAACCTTTTCTCCAAGCTTGCGGGATGAGAAAAGCAAGCAGGTATCTTCCTCCTCCAGTGCCCTGGGCTCCCAGGACTCTGCCAGGGAGAGCATGGAGCATACATTAAAGCAGTTGACTTTGCTCTGCTGTTTCTGTCTGTAGGTAGGTGTGTCCAGGATGATCAATCCCGCCCCACCCCCCACCCCAGCTTCCAAGAACAGACCACGGACATGGGTGGTGGAGAGAACATTGGTGAACATAGAAATGACCATTTCCTGTTCATGTGTTTATTCTGCTTAAATGAAGGAGCGTATAAATAGATGTTCAGGGATGTGCAGAGACCAAGCCACCTTGGAGAAAAAATTCCTAGTGACTGCTGTGGCAATGGCTTGCATTTAGAATTACCTAGGAGACTGAGTCATCTCCAGAGTGGATTAACAGAGGGAAAGACCCTGACTGTGGGTAGCACCGGCTCACTACCACGGGTGGGCGGGTCAGATGGAAGAGAAACCAGAAAAGGAGAAAGCCACCAATCTCTGGTCATGTGACACAAACTGATGCCCCCCCACACCACGCCTTTCCCAATAGGTCATGTATCTGCATAGAAACATGAGAACTAACCAATGCATTGGCTGCACTGCTGCTGATGAAGGCTATGATAGTTTCTAGGCTTGTTGAGAAAAGCCAGCACTGTGACAAACGGGCCACAGACCCTGCAGCTAGGCTGCAGAATGACTTCACTTCTGAAAGGTTCTCCGTGCATTCCTTATCATCAGCCCATTCTTATTTTCAAAGCTCCAGAGGTTTGGTAGGAAAGAATGTGGAGCTGAGGCTCCCCAAGGAGGGTTGGTATCCTGTAAATGAGCAACTCTTTCCAGCTCAGAGACGGTTGAATGAAACAGATGATTTTGGAGGCTGAAGCAGAGTGACAGGTCAGTAGAAGACATAGGAAACACAAGCAGCTGTCAGTGGAAATTCTTGTAACACCCTATAAGAGGATGTGGACAAGATGGCCTGCACAGGTTTCTATGTTTGACTGCTTGATCCCCAGTTAGTGGAACTGCTTAGGAAGGACTGGGAGGCGTGGCTTTGTTGGAGGAGGTGTGGCACTGGGAATGAGTGGGCTTTGAGGTTTCAGAAGCCCAAGCCAGGTCCGGCCTCTCTCTTGCCCTCTTTCTGACTTCTGCTTGCAGATCAGGGTGTGAGCTCTCAGCTGGGGCTCCAATGCTCTGCCTACCTGCTTGCTGCCATGCTTCCTACCAGGCTGATCAGGGGCTTCTCTGAAACTGTAAGCCAGCCCCCAGTTAAACGCTTCTTTGTATAAGACGGAAGCTGGTACCAGGGACAGAAGTATTGCCGTGATGGGCCTGGCCATGCTGCTTGGAGACTAGGAAGACGCAGCACTTTGGACTAGAAATGCAATTGAATGCTGTAACTGGGGCTTAATGGATCTTCCTAGTAGGAACTTGGAAGGTAGTAATGTTGAGAGCACTGTGCACTACGGAGGCCCAGCTCAAGAGGTTTCCGAGGATAACGATATTAACGGCTAAGTACAGACTATTGTAATACCGTGGAAAGGAATGTGCCCCAGTCCTAAAACTCTGCTGTCCTCAGCAGTGGAGATTTCAGGGCATCTAGTATTGACTGTGTTGTGTCACTCTTCGTATGCATATCTACAATGAAAAAGAGCAAGCAAAGCAGAAAGAAACGCAAAACATGCCGTTTGAGGGGAAAGAGACTCGGGAAATGTAATGCTGGACCCGTCTCTGTGCTGAAGGAAATGAGATTTTAAAGGAAGGCCCAGGGCTTGGGATGGGGGCTGGTGGCGGGACAGGGGAGGAAGGGAGGGTTCAGGAACTGGGATTGACATGTAAAACAAGCTTGTTTCAAATTTGAATTAAAAAATTATCAAAGAAAAAAAATTATAACTGGGAAAAAACAAATGTGAAGTAGTTCTATTTTTCTTAAAAAAGAAAGAGGGAAAGAAAGGAAGGAAAGAAGAAAGGGAGAGAGGGAGGGAGGGAGGAAGGGAGGGAGGAAGGAAGGAAGGAAGGAAGGAAGGAAGGAAGGAATAAAGGCCCAGGGAAAAACTCTAAGGAGTAATTTGCTCCTAAAGATCTACAAGAAAGAAAATTCTGTGCACATATAATTCAGGAAAGGGCAGTTTCCAGCGGCAGCAGGCAGCTAAACTTGGCAGTTTCAGCCATGTGGTCCTGGATTTGAGAGTTCATGTGTAAAGGAGTTGTGGAGTCTTCCTCTGTGGTTAAATAGGCCATGTGGCAGGGCAGTCCCAGCTCGGGGACCAAAGAGGCCACTCTGTGGAGCTGTGAAGGTGAACCCCAAGATGTTGGAGACGCATGGGATATATGCCAATCAGAGCTGCATGCAGGCCGTTGAACCAGCCCCCCCAAAAGGTACTGCAGCCAAGAACACTGGAAAAGAGTGGGAAAAGCAAAGGGCTGCCGAGCTCGCCATGCAGCTCCAGGATTTGGAGTTTGCTTTGACCCAGTATGTCCTCACTATGAGTCTTTCCTCCCTGTTAGCATCCACACACACCTTGGCCCTAACCCTTGGGGACCTGGCAGAGCACATCACCCCTGCGTGCATGGCAGGCAGAACCTGTCTCTGTATGCAGGTGCAGAAGGGCCCTTTAAGAGACAAGCTCCACCCACTCCTGCTCTCGCTTGCCTGTGTTCCTCTGAAGAGGCAGGCAGGTCTCTCTCTCTCTCTCTCTCTCTCTCTCCCTTCTCCTTCCCTTCTTCCTTCCTTTCCCCCAATAAAACTTCCCATGTATGTTCTACCTGCATGACATGTTTGACATGTTTGTCTCTTATCCACCATGGGATCCACCAAGGTCCCCCTCCATGCCCCACACCATGCACATATTTTCTTTAACGTTCTAGAGTCTTGAAGAGGAAAACCAGATCTGTTCTCTCACTGCCCAGAACGTCTCCTCTCCTTCAATCTGGCAACTGAGACTGGAACAGTGTATTTGTGTATTGATAGCGGGCCACCTCCTCAGAGACAGGAATGCACACTGTTCTACCAATCAAGCCAGGGACCGATATCACCTATGGCAGAAAACAGCCTTGTGCTCTAGGGTTCAATCTGGCCACCCTCGGGTTGCAAAATGTAGCTACTGGCATCACTTGCAGCCACAACCAAGAGCCAGGAAAGAAAGGCACCTCTGGAGAGGGGGACACCCCTCCGTCCCTGCCTCCAGCCCTCCCATTCTTCCATCTAAGAGCTAGGGGTTCTGAGAAGCCTTTGAAGAGGTACATATCCATCTATTCATTGTTTTCTTCTGGAGAATGCTTACAGCATCCAAAAGATTCTCAATGAACCCCCTGCCCCTGACCAGGCTAATAATACCCAGAGGACACCCTCACCATCAGTTGTGAAGTCCCCTATGCTACATAATATTTTAACAGATGGTGTTTTATCCTCAAGCAAAAAGAAAAAAGTCATAATATTATCACTGGTGGGTTGTTTGTGTTCCAGCAATGTTGCAGCAATAAATCTCTATGATGTGCTAAATTGTAAATTATCATCTGGGTTTTATAAACATATTAAATGTGATGGTTGTAAAAGGGGGTTTTCTTATAAAGTAACAAAGGACACTTTTGCTGCATCATTAACTTGCTGCTTAAATAAATAATTAAGGACCAACTAAACAATTCTATTTGTCCTGACATTTAGAAGCCCCAGTTTCTTTTACTCACCCCTCCCCAAATATGAGGGAACACCATGAATCAGTCACTCCTAAAATGACTGTGGACTCTATCTGTCAGGGTTCGGTCCTGTGGTTGGAGCACTAACCACAAACCAAACCACGAGAAGCCAGAAGGCAGAGGGCTCGGGAAAGCCTAAGGCGGTAGCAGGCTAGTGGACGATGTCATGGCAACGGTCAGCACAGTCCCCAGTACAATGTACAGGGAGATCCGAAGGCCTCTGCAAAGATGCTTAGCACAGAGATGGACACTTGCTCAGCTAGTAGAGTGCTCGACCAAGACACCTAAAGCCCCAGAAAACCAGGTGTGATGCCCAACACTTGCAAGTCCAGTACTGGAGAGATGGAGTCAAAAGGAGGAGGAGCTCAAAGGCACCCTTGCCATGCATAGTGAGTTTGGGGCCAGCCTGGGCTACAAGAGACCTTGTGTCAATTAGCAGAGAATGGACTTGGTCTGTGTGTCTCTCGCGTTGGCTTTCTTTTCCCCAGAGGATTGTGAAACACACTTCTGAAACCTTTACCCATGATGGGCCTTTCTGATCAAAAGTGGGAGCCCGGGAAAGCTACTTACCAGACACAGGTGGCTGGTCACTGGGGGAACCCCCAGACCCAGAGGCTCCCCTCTCCGAGCTCGGAAGCTTTTCATCAGCCTGGTCCTGGGGCTGCTCTCCCGCCTCTGACACACTGGCTGCTGCTTCGCTGGGAAGGCCCATGCTGTAGGCACACTGGGGTAATGGTCCACACTTCAGAGAACCCATAAGGGGCTCGTGGTCCTCTTTAGGAGTGTTCCCACAGCCTGCATAGCCATCTGATGAGTTGGAGCTGGCCACCCAGGGTGGGCAACTGTCACCCTCTATTTCTTTTTTCAAGTACTTTTCAGGGGACCAAGGAGCACAGTCAGTCCTGCGTGGCGGCTCAATGAAGTTGCAGCCTTCAGAGTCAATGGTGCTCTCGGTCCCTGTGAAACACTGGCTTAAACTGTCATTCTCCCCGACCTCCAGAGGCTCCCGGAAAGGGGGTGTGCATTTGCTTCCAGGCTGGATCAGGAACAGGGACTCCTCAGGGGGCTGTGAGGGCCGGCCTGTGTACTCATCCTCCGTGGGAATCTGCCTTGAGAGGTCCCCTTGGGTCTCAACTTCGCTGACCAATGTGAACATCAAGGCATCTCCGCTCCCGGCACAGGGCCCGCCTGCTGCACACACAGGCCCACAGGCGCCAGTTCCATCTTCTGGATAGCACATGTCTTCTGGAAGCATCTTCTCCTCCAGAGTCATGAGGAAGATGCCTTCACACACTTCCCGCTGATTGGAAGTTGTCGAGTGGGCACCGATACAACTGTCAGGTGAGGACTCCTGCAGGTGCGAATTCAGAAGACACTGAGTTATTACATGTTTGCCTACCCACTGCTGCGAAGGGATGGTGCGGACTGTCCACCTTGGCTAGGACAGGTGGCCCACACTCCATGGCTTTATTTATACTGTTTACAATAACAGAGTGTGGGAGAAGTCTCGAAAGGGACACAAACAGAAACGACTGGATCTTTACAGCATCTGCACACTATCCAAGGGAAGAGATAACCCAAGTGACACTGGAGCACATCTGTCTGTAACAAAACAGCAGCAGCATGGGCAAGTGCAGTAGCTCTGTTTGTGGCATGGTTTTAGTTCTGTGTGTCCTGTAACCCAGCAAAGGAGGAAGCATACTGAAAACCAAAGGACTCGGGCGTCGTGCTGGGAAGGGAAGACCTAAGCAGGAAAGGAGGAGATGAGAGCGGACCCTGTGGAATTGGAGCTGAGTTATAGAAACCCAGGCTAATGCCTGCAGCTATATATTATACTTCCAACAGACACGAAGGACAAACTAGAATAACGAACATATTAGTATCAAGTGTGGGTTGGAAAATAGTTAAGTCACTGTTAAATTTTTGTTGTTTAATTTTGGATTTGTGAGACAGGGTTCTGTGTAACTGAGACTGGCCTTACTAGGGAATACAGGGCGACTCTGAACTTCTGATCCCCCTGCCTCTACCTCCTAGGTGCTTGGATTAGAGACAAGTACCTCCACACCGTTTATTCTCTGCAGGGTTTTGTGCCTGCTAGGTAAGCACTCTTTTAACACGACCAGAACCACGTTTGAACAAATGAATACATTCATTGACTTATGTATTTACTCACTGTAGAGGGGAGTGAGTGGGACATGAGCATGCATTGCTTTCTCCATTTTAGAAAGATGCATTTTTAATTTTGATTTGTGTGTGCGCGTGAGTGTGCGCTTGTGCAGCTGAGTCTAGGTGTCCTAGCGGGCCACAAGAGGGCGTAGGATCCCCTTGCACTGCAGCTGCCTAAGTGAGTGCTGAGAACTGAATTGAGGCCTCTGGAGGAGATGCACTTGATCTAAACTACTGAGCAGATTGGGTTTCCTTTAGCTTTTCATTTTTGGTAAATCACTGTTTGACCAAGACTATTTTTAAGGAATGCCCATTTAGGTATTTAAGAACAGAGGAATACACCATCTCTGTTCACTCCAAAGTGATCACAGACTCACTTGATTCACAGAAAGAGCCAAGAAGAAATTGGCGTGATAAATTGCAAGCCACCCGTGAATTGGGCATCAGGCATCAGGCCTTTCATTTCAATAGCCTTAACACTTTTCAATATTTGCTGGCATTATGACAAAGGAGATTTATTAAATAACTACAGAGTAAAGGAAAGTCACAGATGGTTCCTCCTAGGAATCTGCAGCAGGTGACCAAGGTCAGTTCGTAAAAATACCTACACAGAGACAATAGAACTGGAATAAAGACTGTTGTCTGTCTCGGGGATAGTGCACTTTCCCAGCATGGGTAAAGATCACTCAGTGTCCAGCCTGGCGTCAGGGAAGGGGTGGGAATGTGGCCTGATGAAGAGGTTGGGCACTGACTTATCCAACAGGGGTCAGTTCTGGGATGAAGGTTTCACTGTCTGGTAAGCGGAGTGCTCCACAGTCATTGGTTACAGCTCTGAACACTGCAGCAGGACTTAAAGAAGGCCCTAGTAAACACTTTTACCTTATTTCCACTTAGGGTTCTGCAAGTGTCATTGACCCAGTTCCACAAATTAGCTGGAAAAAAAAAAGCAAAGATAAGAACTTCATGTTATAATTTTCTCCTTATTTTAATGTACATTTTATTTTATATATTTAACTTATGTAGCATGATGTGACAGGATAAATATAGATGGCAAAGTGGTTACTGTAACAAAACGGATCAACTTATCCATCTTGTCAAATGGTGATTTGTGTATGGCGAGAAGAGCTAAAATCAACTCAATCAGGAAAACTTTTCCTACAGCACAATATTCCTCTCTGGGAGTGTTTACGCTATGCTATACACCTGCTACTATAGCCTTTGACCTCCATCTCCCATTCCCTTCCTCCTGACCCTGCTCATCACTGCTTCATTCTCTTCTCCTGTGTGTTTGACTTTCTCCCATTTTAGATAATTCTGCGTAAACATGCTCACAGTAAGGTATTAGCATTCCTAAGCGAAAGTATTTGATTATAATCCACCCAGGGCTGGGGATGAAGCTCCATGGCAGAAAGCATGTCTGGCATGCACAAAGCTCACACAAAGCTCGAACAAAGCTCACACAAAGCTCTGGGCTCCACCTCAGCAACAACAGGACTAGTATATGGCTCAGTGGCACAGTACTTGCTTAACAAAAGCAAAAACCTGGGTTCGATCTTCAGCACAGGGATGGGAGTCAATCAACCAAATAATAAATTAGCCGATCTAAACATTCTGAAGGCATTTTACTTTTTAACAAAAACAGAACTTGCTGATCTCTAGAAAGAAAAACACTGTCGAAGCTAATTTTTGCCAACTTGACCCAAACCTGAACACCTAGGAAGAGGAATTTCCTCCTCAACTAAGGAATTTCCTCCATCAGATTGGCCTGTGGGCTATATGAAGGAATTGCCTCCATCAGATTGGCCTGTGGACTGTCTGAGGGACATTCCCTTGATTGCTGATTGATGTGGGAGGAAGGGCCCAGCCTATTTCGAGCAATGCCATCCCTGGGGAGGAGAGTCTGGGCTGTCTGAGACAGGTAGCTGAGGAACTAGAAAGATGGCTGGGGAGTTAAGAACACTGGCTGCTCTTCCAGATGGCCTGGGTTCGGTTCCCAGCACCTACATGTAGTCTCGCAACCATCTGTAACTGTAGCCCCACAGGATCTAATGCCTTCTTCTGGCTTCTGAGGGTGACGTGTGGTGCACAGACTTCCATGCACATCAAACACCCGCACACATAAATTTTAAAAGATTTTAAAAAGAAAGGTAGCTGAGCAAGCCATGTCAAACAAGCCAGAAAGCAGCATTCCTCTGAGGCTTCTGCTTTGGTTTTGGCCTCCAGGTCCCTGGCTTGAGCTTTTGTCCTGATTACTGGACTGCAAAGTGTGAGTTGGAAAGACAAACACAGGAGCAAACAAACACCTTTCCCTTCGAAGTTACTTTTGGTGATGGCGTTTATCATAGCAAAGGAGACCAAACTGGGACCCACTAATAACCCATCAATCACCTGTGGACACAGCTGGGTCTGCTGTGAGCCGTTAGACCACAGGTAATCTCATTCCCTCATATTGTGCATATGAGGGGCAAGGTAATCAAGAGAGGGGGACAAAGAAGGTGCATCTGTGACAATAATAGGAAAAGATAAAGTTTTCTCCCATCCCATATGAAAATCCAACACTTTCTTCACTATAAACACCCAAGTCAGGAGCTGCAGATTCTTGCAGGTTTGTTTTTGCCTGAATATATACATGTGACAAGCATGCCGATACGTAGGTTTGCATGTATGTATGCTGTGCTGTATGTGTATATGAATGCTCATCTGTGTGTGGCTATTCATGTGTGTGTGTGCCTATTCGTGTGTGTGTGTTTGACACCAGGCATTTTAGTGAGTCACTCTCCACCTTATACACCAAAGCGGGGTGTCTCACTTAAACCCAAGGCCCACTGGTACAGATAATCTAGCTAGCCAGCTTGCTCAAGGGGCGTCTTCTAATCTCCACAGCCTCAAGTGCTGGGGTCACAGCTGGGAAGTGTGGAAGCAGCCCTCTGCAGGACACCCTGCGAATGATTCCTGCTGTGTCTTTTGACAAAGTGTGAACTCATCACCAGCGCTGAGGATCAAATCCACAGCATTCCTTATGCCAGGCAAGCACCTTACCACTGCGCTATAGCCTCGGCCCTTGGACTTTTGGTTTGAAAGACAGGATCTCCCGATGTTGCCCAGACTAGCCTTAAGCTCCTCTCCTGCCTTAGCCCTCTGAGTTCCAAGACTACAAGCATACGGCTCAACAAGGTGTGCTTTACTTGTTGAACCTCAGTCTGACCCCCCAAAAAGAGAAAGCCAACTCCACAACGTTGTTCTTAGGGTTCTACATGTGTGTCGTGGCACACGCACCCATACACACATCATGAACACACAATAAGTAAAAGTTTTCTAAAAAGATTATGATATATCTGGAAAAAAAACTAAAGAAGCTTGGCATTCCTTCATTAAAAGCAAAACAAACAAACAAACAAAAACCACTTTTAGCAGTGTCATATAAAAGTCAAACACGATGTGATGTTTAAAAATGCTATCCACCTTTTTGAAGATATTCCCAAGAAATGAAGTAACATTGGTTTCTCTATTTTAAAAAAAATAAGCCCATAAACTCCAACAATACACAGTCATCTATTTTCATAATTGTAGAGTCACATTTCAAAATAGTATTCCAATCAAAATTCCCCATGTAGACATTTATCTGCGATTTGTCGGTATTGGATGGGCACATTCACAGGGGATACTACAGGGTTAACGCCGAGCCCCTGCGTATCAGGGATGCACAGAGATACAGTGTGGGCCCCCAGCAGCGACACAGCAGCTATAGCAGAAGGCGAATGCTGTGTACTTACATACAGGCAGACACAACATTGTCCTTCGGTTTCCATCATTATTGTTGCTAGAACAAAGACTCAGGCACAGGGTCCTCAAGAAGAGCTGCCAGTGCTCTTAACTCCAGCCCCATAAGTAAGAAATTTAAAAAGCAGATTCCATGACAGTCAGGGAGGGACAAAATGCTCATCTCCCATGATGCTTCCCTGGAAAATACCCACCACAGACACAGTACCTGTCAGGGCTTTCCCTCCCTTCCGGTAGTAAACGCCAAAGACGATGGCAGCAACTAACACCACAGAGACGAAGAGGAGCAGAATGATGAGACTGGGCAAGTAAATCTGGGCTTCTGTGGTGGAAGAAAACACAGGGTTAAAGATTATTTCATCTTACCAAGTTAAAAGATGATAAAGTCCTGTAAATCCAACCCAAGAATCAATGATGCAGGTGTCCAGGTAACCAGAATGGAGAACTCCTCACCCAGAAGGGCGGAGAGTTCTCGCCCATCAGAGGACACACACCATAGCTAACCCGCCCTGCTCAGGGGCCTTCCCTCCAGGAGAGGCCAGCCCAGGCCCATCGGCCCATCTCTGCTTGAGGATGAGTTGGATGCCATCCACTGTGCTGTACTGGTTCATCTCTCTGAGTTTGTCATTCCACACCTGCTGTTCTTGTTCGCAGCCTTATTGTTGCTCTGTGGCCTGGTTCTCTGCATGTGAGGAAGGTCTTTCCCCAGGCTGCTTGCTTCTGAGGTGCAGCCCGCCACATGGCCACTCCCCCAAAACAGCCACACAGAAGCCTCTGCTGGCCAGAGACTTTTCTGTCAAGCTTTCAAAACCATAGTTAGCTTGATTTAAAAATGCTCAGAGATAATCACAGCCAGATCTAACAAGTGGCTTTCTTTGGCTTGATCAAAACCTCCACTAAGACTCCCTCACTCTGATCATCACCTCCTACCACACCTGGGAGTTGGCATCAACATTTATGTTTATACCCTAACCCTAACTCCTTATAAAAAAAAATATTATCAATTAACCTAGCATGTAGAAAGGCACTAGGTAAAATCTATGGGGGGGGGGGGAGAGGTTAGAGAAGAAGAAAGGAAAAGAAAATTTGGAATTGGGGAGGAGAGTTGGAGAGATGACTCAGCACTTTGCTCTTCTAGAGGACCCAGGTTCAATGGCCAGCACCTACGTGGTGGCTCACGTGACTGTCTATAATTCCTGCACTGGGGATCCAACACTCTCTTCAGACCTTCTTGGGCATGTGAATGCATGTCACTCACAAGTATAAATGGTTACCAAACACCCATATGCATAAAATAAGCATATATTTTAAAAGGAAAAGAAGAAGCTCATACTGTTTAAAACCAGACAAAACAAAACGGTGAGGCTGGAGAAATCGCTCAGCAGTTAAAAGCACTGGCTGCTCTTTGAGAGGCCCTGTGTTTGATTCCCAGCACCCACAAGGCAGCTCACAACTGTGTGCAGCTCCAATGCCAGAGGATCCTAGGCCCTCTTCTGGCCTCCTTGGGCAATGCACATAGGTGGTGTACAAACACATAAAATAAAAAAAGAGTAAGTCTTTTGAGCAAATAAAATGCTGAGGAAAAAAGAAAATATAGTGAAAGCACAAATGGAACCCTGCAGCCACAGCTTGTCATTCTAGAGGGGCCACCCTGGGCCATGTGTCGCCCACAGGCTCTGCTCGGCATACCCTTGGGTGGTTTTCTCAGGGTCAGAGAAGAGCTGCAGACCACATCTGATTTCTTCGTCCCAGGGTGTGCTTCTATCCTTCCAAGGAGGGTACAGCTGTGAGGAAAAAGCAGTCAGTGGCTGTGGGTCAACACTTAATTTCAAAAACCATGTCATACTGGGCTAGACCGGCAGCTCCTTCAGGAAGGGAGGCCATATCTTCCTGGAGGTATGACTCCACAGCCTTGCCCGGGGGGAGCAGAAGTCCTCAGAGGAGGGTGGAGTGCTTGGGGAAAGAGTCTACTGAGAGCTCAGTGGGCAAGAGAGAAGACGGACTTGGGGAAAGAGGACTTCAGACGCTGAGAGCGTCTCGATGAGTGCAATTCTGAAGGTGGAAAATACAATCTCCTCAACATAAAACCTAAACAAAATGCATCGGGATACAGCATTTCGTAAGAACCACTGAGTCACACGTGGTGTGGTACACTGTGACCCTGACAGTGGGGGGGGTTGCTGGGCGGCATAGTGAGACCCTGTCTGAAAGCAGTGAATGGCGGGAAGAGGAGAAACAGGCGTAAGCGCAGCAGCTTGTGGGATGGCTACTGTGGGCTTCCTAAAAAGAAAGAACGCATTTGGAACTGAAGACTCATTGCGTTTATCACTAGTATTAAACAACAGGATGGAAAGAGCCCAGGAGTCTGTTCCATGTAACCCATGTGTGGTGCTATACTGTACGTTAGCCTAGCATCTCTAACCCCAAATCCAACAGTCAAAACGTGAGACTCTTAGGACGCTGACATGAAATCCCAGTTAGGAAATCAGACATCACGAAACTAAGTACATGAAAGTACTTAGAGTACAAAATAGCCTTCAGACTATGAATAAGGTGTACATGAGAGACAACACAGTTCTGTGTTTAGGCCCGGCACCCTTCCCCAAAAGTTCTCAGTATGAATGTAAAAGAACCTGAAATACGCCTCAAGCATCGGGTAAGGGATGCTCATGGTGTATACGCACTATCTTTATAAAAATTATCCCTGCAGAAAACTCAGAACTGCTTAAATGGCTGCCGGGTGAAAGTCAGTATATAAATTTTGCTGCATTTCCCCATTGAAGTACACAGCAGTTTTAAGAAGCCACCATTTCCCAATTCAGGGTACAAAAAAAAAAAAAAAAAAAAATCATCAGGTAACTCCTTACATTCAAAGCCCTGGGTTCATCCTTAGCAACAAAAATAATAAATAAACCTGAAATTAAAATATCGATGGGATAAAATCAAAGACACAGATGAACCAGGGTTATGTGACTTGCAAAGAGCTTCAAGATTATCCAAGAAAACCCAAAGCATTTGCAGTGTACACACACTTACACACTTCCAGATGAGTAAGCCAGTGATGAGGGGATGTAGGAGTGGTGAGTGACAATCACATACACATATGCCTAGCATATCTGGGGGCCTTACATTCCACCTGTAGTAGCCCACCCCACCCCTGCCCCAGACAAAGAAGTCATAAAAAATTTCAACTAAATCAAGTTAGGTGAAGGAAAGAGAAGCCGGAACTGAAGGTCATTTATTTCTGAATCTGAGAAGTGGCACAAAGCTCTGACACATATTGGCTCCCACAGCCAGCTTGTCAGGCTTGTCCCCTACTGTGGCTGGCGACAGACTTTTTCCAAGAGGAAGTCAACCTGACACACTGAACCAGCCTCTTCCACCCAGAGCGGCCGAGCCTGACAGGTCCTAATGTGAGCCCGTCCGTGGGTTTCTGCATGGTCACTTACTTGGTCCAGGGTCTGCATTTGTCCGTGGATGAAAAGACATCTGAGAAGAAGCCTAGGAGGCAGGGCGTGCACACCGTATCCATGTTGAGCTGCACTGTCACACACACAAAAGCCAACAGATAAAACAAGGAGATACCTAGAGATCGGCCATTACCCATCTTCCCCGTGCCTGCCTGGCCACCTGTATTGCCTGCCTTCAGCTCCCCCAGGCTTGCGTGGAGGAAGTGCTTACAGATTACGTTCAGAAACTGGCTTCATGTCAGGCCACTGAGACTACAGCTGATGTCCGGCTAAGTCCAACTTTGCCTGATCTTTTACTGTTCAGAACCAAGCATTTCCCCATAGGTGTTATGGGGCTGCGTTTTTTGTTGTCTGGCTATTTCCGGCCTTCATGGCTACATCAGCTTTCAACTGCAGGCAAATGCGGTGTCATCCCCGCCTTTAAGGGAAATGTGTCCCTCCAAAAGCAAGCTATCACATTACTCTAAATTACTCTTTGGGGGGGGGGGGCTGGTATTTGAAACATTTCTGGTCCCAAGCATTTGGGGCTATATGACACTATTCACCACAAAAGTCATTATTTCAAATGGCAGAATAACTGAAATGCATGTCAACTGTTAACTTATTAAATACATGACGGTACCAGGCCACTTCAGCTTCATGTCACCAGGCTAAGGAGCTGTAATGGTTACTATACTTGTTACGCCCTGAGGGGAACTTCATAAGTCTCTTCCTCCTCAACCAATGATTGGTGTTCAGTTTTTCTACCAAGCCTGACACAACGACCTTTTAGGCCTATGACCTCTGCTAGGACTGGTTGTCCATAGCACAGAAGTAACTATAGATAATACAAAAGCAAATGGATCGGGCTGTGCCCCAAGAAAGCATAAATGCAAATGATGCGATAGTGTGGGTCTTGCTTCATCCCCAGCACTCAGAACAGAAGGCTGACCCTGCCTAGTAAGCTTCATTCTGCTCTCATATATCTCCTAAGCTAAATTAGCAACGTGAGAGATGCCTCCAGCTTTCTGTGTCTCCGATCTTTATTGCATTGGCACACAATGATTTGGTAGACACAAATGAACAATTCTGAGTACAATGTCAAGCCAACATTGGCCACTGGCTAGTGCCAAACCCACAAATGACTTTTGAGATTAGTAGCACTTCCATAATTTATTTTTATGATTACAAACCTAAAATAAGAAATTAAAATTCTGGGTACATGCCTGATAGAAAGTATATGTTGGATTTCTGTAATTTGGCAATAAAAAAGATGCACTGACACACTGACAGGCTGTGAAACAATTGTAACAATGCCATTGCCAAACTAACATTAATTGAAACAGCATTTTAAAGGATGAACAAGGGGGGTAGGGTTTGTTTCTCAGCATCCCACATCAGTCAGCTTCCAGCTGCCTGCAATGCCAGCCCAGCTCCAGAACTCCAGGGATCCATCCAAGGCCTCTGACCTCCTCCAGCACTGGTATTCATGCACACACACACGCATGCGCACACATGCACTCACACACACACACACACACACAGATAGAAAGAGAGAGTACAGTACAGATTTTTTTTTTAAAGATGAACAAAGGATGGATGAGATAAAGATGCTTGACCCCAAATCTGATGACCTGGGATCCACATGATAAAGAGATAAAACCAACTCCCACAAGTTGTTGTCTGATCTCCACTAATGGGCTGTGGTGTACACACACACACATACACACACACACATACACACACACACACACACACACACACATTACAAATTAAAAGAGTAATGCAATCTAGAAGATTCTGAGAAGGGTTCAGGGACATTACTTTCCATTCACTTGACCCACTAGTGGTACCGGGAAGGTCCCATTTCCCTTTTTACAGCCAGGCTTCTCACACTAGCCCAACAACTTACACTTCCATCTGCCTGAACCCCTCTGTGAACCATATCTTGGCTATGCTAAACTGAGCCAGGACTTGAAATACTGAGGACCACACAGCAGCACTCAGAGCAGCCTGGGCCTGTTTCTCTTTCCATCCTGACCCAGAGTAAGCATGTGGTCCTCATGGGACTGTTTAGTTTTGGCATACGTGAATTTTATTTTTCAGGGTCTCTTATAACCCAGGCAGGTCTCAAACTCACTAAGTATCTAAGAATGACCTTGACTTCCTTCTGTTCACTGCCAGGATTACAAGTGTGTACCACCACACCAGATTCTGCTCCATACTGTGGATCAAATCCAGGGTTCTGTGCATGCTAGGTACCAACTGACAAAGATATCCCCAGCCTTGTGGAAATCCATCTCCCTCATATCCACCTACTGTCAAAAATACACCATTTCCAAGGGTTCAAGGCAGAGGAAATCGTTAGGTTTCAGACCCTGGACAAAGGCTGACTGAACTGCCTATTAAACAGATCAAAAGTGATGCTGGCCACCAGAGGTTTCTCCCAGCATCCATCCTCAGTCCTTACTGGTTACAGGGTCCTCCCGGCTGCCATACCCCACCCCTACCCTGAAGTCTCCTTGGCTGCCCCCCCCCCCAACCAGGCTCTTTGGTATAGAATCCAGACATTTTGGTCACATCTGTCCTTTTTACCCTTTTACCTTCCTGGCTTCTAGGTTTCCCGGCTCTCCCCTCTGCCCCCTCCTCACATGGCTTAGATCAGAGTCATGTTCACTCTGAATTCGTCTCTGCCTCTGGCTACCCTCTCCCTCATATCTACACTAAACCTTCCCCCCATGACCTAGGCACAGTCATGCCCTCCTTTTTATTTGGGCAGCACCCTAGTTCACAAAGGTGGTAAATCTGGAGCAAGGCCAAAGGTGGTATCTACTCTGGGAGCAGAATCTGGAGGGAGCTGGCTGCGGTAGCGAGGTTTGTCTTTACTGGTTAAAAACTCAAGCTGACTTTTCCGAGAGAGCATGTGCGGTTGAGTCAGGCGCTGATGCAGAGGCCCACAGCACTAGCTAGACACATTCTTCCATGCGGACTCAAATGAATAATATCTCAGTCCTCCCAGCCCTGTCCAAGTAGGCTGGCTTTACGTGAAGGGCTGGCAAGCATAAGCAATCACTTGTTGCACCCTGAAACCTGCTTTGTAACACTTCCTAGAAGCCGGGAGAGTGAAGAGCTCCCAAAAGCATTTTCGCAAGTCAAAAGGGTCCGTGCTTCTTTGCTTTCAACAAAGCTGAGGGACACAGCGGAGTTCTCAGATGACAGAACATTAAAAACAGCCCCAACCTCACTTTGTGAGCAAGGATGTCACTCAGAAGGTTCCAGGGGAGCCTTGAGTGCTTCTCGGCAGCCACATCGGCAACTCAGAAAGTGAACACTGATTGACATACCCAGCCCCAACACAAACATCGGGGCCATCTCCCTCTTACAGTTCCAAAGCTGCAAATACGTATTTGTACATGTTACATACATAGTAATGAGCATGGTGACAGCTCAACCCAGGAAAAAAACCCTCAATACCCTGTGAACCTAAGTCAAATTAAGTTTTTTTTTTTTTTAAAAGCAGATTTCAAATTAGTCCTTATATGAAGGGATGTGAAGAGGTAACTGAGAAAGGCCTTCCAAGCACAGAGAAGGAGGCAATTCTGAGTGGAAGGGGGATGGGCACAAAGACAAGTGTGTGAATGTTCCAACCGTCAGGCTGAGTGGTAGTCAGGACAGAATGGATTTTACAGTCCAGCATCTGGTGTGCGTAGGTGTGGGTCAGAAGGCCTCAGGGCCTGCCTCTTCTGTGTTAGGCCAAGTTTCTCACCGGCCTGGAGCATTGCCTAGGCTAGCTGACCGGCCTGCTCTGGTGACACCGATGTCCTGGCTTCCCCTCTTGCTGGAGCTGGGCTCAGCTTTTAATGTGAGTTCTTGGTCTAGCTCAGGCTCCCAAGCCTGTGAAAGCACTCCATAGGCAGAAATGTCTCCCCAGCCCTCCACTGTCCGCTTTCAAATTGCTACTGCAACTATAATTCCCCAACAGCTAAGTCTTTAGGAGCTCTTTAAATCTGAAATTACTATCTGCCAATGACAATTTACAGCGTGTCCAGAGGTGCGCACCTCCTTCTAAGAGGCTGCATGCCTTTTAGTGCCTTGGAGGATCTTTGCACGATACTATTGGTTACTTAGTGGGGACCCTCGGGTCTCACAGACTGAGACCTGTTGCCACAGAAAAGGAGGAAGGGGTAGGGGAATTTGGGATGACTGCCCATGTGCCGTTCGAAGCTGGGCTAAACTGGTTCCTCATAGGCATCTGGGTTCCCTGGAGCACCCTTGATAGAGCTGTGACCAATCCCAGAAAGCCTCTGGGCAGAGGTTAACAGTAGGGCTCTGTAGGATGGTAGGCAGCACATCCACACCCAACCATGCCTTACAGGGATGCTGGGCTCCGAAGCCTGGCGCACACTCCATGTTGCGGCGGCAGCATTCACAGTCTGGGTTCCAGTGGTAGCCAGCGGTGCAAGCGCAGCGCCGTGGGGCCGTGTGGTTGCCAGGGTCCACTGCCACCAGGGCCTTGCCTGTGGGAGACAAGAGACATCAGGGACCAGCAAGGGGCAGGAGACACAGATGCACTGTCCACCGGTGCACCGTCCCCACCCAGCTCCAAACAGCTGCATCTGGTGGCCAACAGAGTGACTCACTGGGTTTGAGGAACTCCAGAGTTCCTTCCTGCACTTCCTTGTTGGTAGGAAACCATCCAACAGACCCCTTCCTTCCTAGTAATTAGGAGTTGTGTGGGCTCTGGAGTTTTATGCTAGTGGGTTTTATTAATTGTTTTTAGAAATGCCCAGCTGCTTGGTTTTTTAAATTTTTTTTTAATTTAGTTTATTTATTTATTTATTTGTAAAAAACTACGGAGTTGATGGGGATGTGAGTCCATACTGTGGTCCTCAAGGGCTGTGGGGCACTCAGTCAAGAGACAAAGCACAGAAGCAGGCAGCAGTGTGTCTGTCCTGTGGGCCAGGGTCACCCCCCTACCTCCCCACAGACACACACACACACACACTGGAATACGACATGGGAATTTAGTTATATTGTAAACTGGGTGCCCAACACACACAAATCATCCCTGTTGCTCGGTTGACATCAATTCCCTTGTTCACACAATTTCTACTGACACTTGCAGTGTGTTTGTAGTCATCCCTGGACACACCCTTGGAGTCACTCTACACAAGGGCCTCTGGAGGATTGTCTTCCTCCATCCCTCTGCCTCCTCCTTCCAGGAGAGTGCTGGGGATTGAAACCACAGCCTCTCACACTGCAGTAAAGCATCCTCTGAGCTAACAGGTTCCCAGCAGAATGAGCATCCTTGCCACAGTCTATGAAGAGCAGTTTTCTATCCTTGGGCTTTTACTTGGCGACACCTTTATTTTCAATGGCCCTATGTGCAGTGATGTTTTGTGTTGCACATACGAGAAGACAGTGATGTGCCCTGCTCAGAAAACATACTTGGTATAAAGTTTGAGTCTTGTGCTGAGTCAAGGAAGCCTATCTAGTAAAGAGTGACGCACAGGACAAGGGTGGTTGTGCGTGAGACAAAGGCCTCTCTCTGATCAGGGGCTTGGGGGAATCTAGGCCTGGATTCTCGTAGGAGCTGTGACTGATTCAGAACTCGCTACTCACTGATTGTGGTGACTTCATAGACTCCAGCTACCATGAACTGTACAGGTGTGCACACGCACGTGACATGAAGTCATGCCATTGTTTAAACCGCCCAGGTGGCGGGAGTGGCGGCTCACTGGTTAGGAGCCCGCACACAAGTTGCGGAGCATCTGAGGTTCTACTCCAGGTACCCATGTCCTCCAGGGGATTTGACCTTTATTTGGCTTCCTTGGGCACCTGCACACATGAACATAACACCCTCTATATACATACACGTAATTAAAAATAAAATGAATCTTTAAAAAAGGAACAAACAGGTAAAAAATACTGAAAGGCCCCATCTAATCTGGATTTTCTATGTGGCCCCTGTACCTTAACTTCCAAGGGGAACAAGAGAAGGGGAAAATCAAAACCTGTTTCTTCCTTCCCTGCCAATCAGGAAGAGGCTTTTTAGACCTAAGCATGAGCCCCGTTTGCCCTTGTACCCACTGCCCAAACCCTTGCAGCACAACGGGCGATTGTGCAGAAACATGTACCTAGTACATGTAAGCATAAAGGAGCACACACCACTTCCCTGTAAAATACTACAGGGTCCTGTGCAAGTGTCCGTGAATGGGGGTGGCGACACTTTGAGAACATTCTGATGTGCTCAGTGCCCAGCTTTCATTCATTTTGGCAATAGACAGGATGAATTGTTATTTCCAACAGACGGCAATGAGTCAAGGTCATCAAAGGAAATAAGGTCTTAATCAGATGCGTGTGCCTGTGGAGTTTCCACAGCACTTTCTCCACCCTAGTCTGCCAGCTGTCTCAGACACACTGGGGGGAAGGAGAGCGTTCAGAAATGCTTATTTCCTAGCAGTGCTCCATAGGGATATATCCTATAAAGATCAAGTCACTAATAACGGAGTTCCTTTAGTACCACCCCTAAATAAAATGTCCCACTAGGTGACAGAGAGGGCTTGGAGTTTAAGAGCATTTGCTGTTCTTCCAGAGGACCCAAGTTCAGTTCTTACTGCCCACATCAGAGGGATCTGATCTTGGGCGGGCGCCGTGTGTGTGTGTGTGTGTGTGTGTGTGTGTGTGTGTGTGTGTGTGTGTAAGGACTGATGACAGTCTGGGCTCACTCGGTGTGATAATCTGAGCACCCACAGTGTTTGCAACAAGCTGAGCACCTCAGACACATTCATGAGGTCATCATGTCGATGCAAATGCCCAGGTCCAGCCAGGATTCTGAAAGTTACAAGCACTTAGCGCGCCCTTTCGGTTTGTGTTATGTTTCAGGGAAACAAAGAAGTGACAGGGAGGAGCCTTTAATCCCAGCACTACAGAGGCAGAAGCAGGTGCATCTCTGTGAGTTCAAGGCCAGCCTAGTCGATGGAGAGAGTGCCAGGATAGCCAGAGCTATTACACAGAGAAACCCTGTCTCGAAAAACCAAAAACGAAAGGAAGAAGGAAAAGAAAGAAAAAGAGAAAGCGAGAGAGAGAGAGAGAGAGAGAGAGAGAGAGAGAGAGAGAGAGAGGTGACAGGTGACAGAGAGAGTTTCTATAAAGCATCTGACTAATAAAGAAAGGAGACAGAATCTACCACCAATGTCTGGGAAGTCTGGGTTCCCTCATGAAGACAGATCTAGTCAGACTTGAGCACACACCTGCAATCCTGGCACTTCAGAGGCAGAGGGGCAGAGGCAGAGGCAGAGAGATGGGGTAGAGGGGCAGAGGGGCAGATGCAGGAAGATGGAGGCCAGGCTATATTGGAAGCCTCTATATGTAAAATATCAAGAGTTAGTGATATCGCTTAGAGGTAGATCATCTGGCTGGCATGTATAGGCCTTGAAGTTGATCCCCAGGACTAGGGAATAATATCCAACCCATATTTATCATAGTGAATATTACAAAAATAAAATTCCCACTCTTATTCATATGAACTATACAAAGATGAAGGGCTTTTGCCAGATCATAGCTGAAACAAACCAGTATTCTATCAGCCTTCTAAGTTTAATGTGCAATTCAAGAAATACCAAGGAAAGAGTATGATAAAGGACACCAGGGGCTGCAATAATTAAACCCACAACAGTAGCTCCTCTAGGGGAACATGGTGGATGCTTTAGTACTTAGAACAAAAAATGGAAAAGAGAGAAAAGAACCTCTTAGGGCATCCATGAAACATAGTTATATCCTGATTCCTAAACATAAGCTATATTTTATAAAATGGAACTGAGCATGGAAAAGTAGTCCTACAGTTTCAGTAGTGAGGGTCAGGCCATCCTGAACTACAGAGTTGAGAGCCTGTCTCAGTCTGTATGCATGTATGTATATATATATGTATATATATATATGTATGTATGTATGTATGTAATCCACTCCCCTTCCAAAAATTATGACATCCTAGTGAAGCAATGAACTTTAACAATGTTTTCATTTACTGTTTAGGGGAAGATATATGAGTTAGAAGGTCAGTTCAAGTACTGCTTTTCAACGTGTTGATCCTAGAGAAGTTAATCTCAGGTCTCAATTATTCTACCTTTAAAATGGGCCAAGTGCAGGATTAAATGACACAGACACACCAAACACTGTGGCAACATTTTGTCAAGGGCAGGATGTGTTCACAATTAAGGTGCAGCGCATATTCTGGAGCAGAAAGATGACGTTTTTAACCTATGGCACTGGGTACATAAAGCCAGGAGCAGAAACCTGTCCTACAAATGTTCAAAGGAAAAGCAGCAGGCTCACTTAACACACTTCTGTGAAACAGGTGTAAGGAGCAGAGGATGATGGTGTATCTCCGCCCCCGCCCCCCTCCCCGGGTGACTTGTACCAGTGTGATCGCCCCACCTGCATCACAGACTTTGTGCAGCAAGCATTTATCCTCTTCATTCCAGGTGTCCAAGTACTCATCTGGGCCACAGGGCAGGCACACACTATCAGCGGCAGGAGTACACTTGGAAGATAGGTATCTGCCTTAAATGGAGAAGACAACGCACCAGTCAAAACCAAAACAATGGCAATAAATGTGCCCGCCAAAACTAAACAACAAGCTGGGGCATGGTGGCACATACTTTTAATCCCAGCACTCAGGAGGCAAAGGCCGGAGGGTCTCTGAGATCCTGGCCAGCCTGGACTAAGGAGCAAGTTCCATGGCAGCCAGGGCTACACAGAGAAACCCTGTCTCAAAAAACAGAATGAAAGAAAGGAAGGAAGGAAGGAAGGAAGGAAGGAAGGAAGGAAGGAAGGAAGGAAGGAAGGAAAGAAGGAAGAAAGAAAAGAAGAAAGAAAGAGGGAGGGAGGGAGACATGGAGGGAGGGAGAGAGGAAGGAAGGAAGGAAGGAAGGAAGGAAGGAAGCAAGCAAGCAAGCAAGCAAGCAAGCAAGCAAAGGTAGAGAGCCCTGAGGAGCCTGAGGTACCTGGTTCGCATTTGCTGCAACAGCGTCCAAGGTGCTCATAATGCCTCTCCCGGGTGCATGGAGGAGCGACCAGGAGGGTCACCTGAAAATAAAAGTGGCATCAGGAAGACATTTCATACAACTTATTCCTGGACAGCACGAACAGTGAGTGGCTGGGCTGGAGAGACAGCTCAGTGGCTACGGCTTTGCTGCCAAGGCTGATAACATGGAAAAGGAGAGACCCAACTCCCAAAGTCTGTCCTCTGGCCTCCTCATGAGTTCACAAACACACAAAACAAGTCAAGAAAACTGAACTGTCAAGGTGTACTTCCACAAAACATGAAAATACTATGAGCTGCTCATGCTACCAGCTTCAACATTTTTACTTTCCTAGGCTAGTCCATTTCCCCTGAAGATATATAAAACCTTCCTTTTAGCATAGGCCTTGACATTCTTAGACAGTTAAAACTCTTGGGGGACACAGAGTAGTAGGGAAAATTAAAGAGAATTTCCATGTGTAAAGAGAGGGTGAAAACTTCTTCATAAGAAACACTTAGGAAATTGGCTCCAGCCCCTCCCACCTCATCATCATCCATGTTACCAGCCCCGTATCCCCCAACTCTGGCAGACTCCATAGGCCCAGGTAGAGTCCACACTGGTCAGTCAAAGAAAATGTTAAAAAAAAAAAAAAAAAACTAACACAAGACATCCAGAAAATCTGGGGCACCATGAAAAGACCGAACCTAAGAATAATAGGAAATAGGAATAGAAGAAGGAGAAGACTCACAACTCAAAGACCCAGAATATATTCAACAAAATCATAGAAGAAAAATTTCCCATCCTAAAGAAAGACATGCCTATAAAGGTAGATGAAGCTTACAGAACGCCAACTAGTTTGGATCAGAAAAAACAGTTTCCTCGCCACATAATAATCAAAACATTAAACACACAGAATAAAGAAAGAATATTAAAAGCGGCACAGGAAAAGAGTCAAGTAACATATAAAGGCAGATTGATCACAACAGAGACTCTAAAAGCCAGAAGGACCTGGAGAAATGTCTTGCAGACAATAAAAGACCATAAAAGACAATAAAAGATGATTGAAACAATATATTTCATGACAAAGTCAAATTTAAATAATATCCGTCCACAAATCCATCCCTATGGAAGGTACTAGAGGAAATATTCAAACCCAAGGAAGTTAGCTACACCCATGAAAACATAGGCAATAGATAATCTCACACCAGCAAAATCCAAAGGAGGAAACACACATACACACACACCCATCACCATCAACGACAACAATAACAAAAATAACAGGAATTAAAAATCACTGGTCATTAATATCTCAATATCAAGGACTCAAATTTCCAATAAAAAGACACAGACAAACAGAACAAATATGAAAGCAGGATCCATCTTTCTGCTGCATACCAGAAACACACCTCAGTGTCCAAGATTGACATTACCTCAGACTGAAAGGTTGAAAAAAGATTTTCCAATCAAACTGACCTAAGAAGCAGACTGGTGTAGCTACAACCAATATCTGGAAAAATAGACATCAAACTAAAATTAATCAAAGAGATGGAGAAGGACACTTCATATTCATTCAAAGTAAAATACATCAAGAGGATGTCTCAATTCTGAACATCTATGCCCCAAATACAAGGGCACTCACACTTGTAAAAAGAAACATTACTAAAAAGCCTAAATCACACATAGAACTCCACACATTAATTGTGGAAGAAAACAGAGACATAACGTAACTAACAGATATTATGACTCAAATACACACTCTACAAAATGTTTCACCCAAACACCAAAGAATATACCTTCTTCTCAGCATCACATAGAACCTTCTCCAAAATTGACCACATACTCAGTCACAAAGCAAGTCCCAACAAATAAAAAAAAAAATGGAATAATCCCCTGAATCTTATCAGATCCCATAGATTAAAGTCAGAGTTCAACAACAACAAAAACTACAGAAAACCTACAAACTCTTGGAAACTGAATAATTTTCATTTGAATTACCAATGGGTCAAGGAAGAAATGAGAATTAAATACTTCCTAGAATTCAATGAAAATGAGCATACAACATACCCAAACGTATGGGACACAATAAAAGCAATGCTAAGAGGAAAGTTCACAACACTAAGAGCCTAGCTAGATAAAGAAACTGGAGAAACCTTACACTATTGACTTAACAGCACACCTGAAAGCTCTAGAACAAAAAGAAGCAAACACTCAAGAGAAGTAGATAGTAGGAAATAATCAAACTGAGGGCTGAAAGAAATAAATAGAAACAAAGAGAATAATACAAATAATCAATGAAACAGTTGGTTCTTTGAGAAAAATCAACAAGATAGGTAAATCCTATCCAAACTAACTAAAAGACAAAGCAAGAATATCCAAATTAACAAAATCAGAAACAAAATAGGGGATATAACAACAGACACGGAGGAAATCCAGAGAATCATCAGGTCATACTCCACATAATTGGAAAACCTAAAAAGACTCACAAATTTCTTGATAGGTACCATATACCAAAGTTAAATCAAGATCAGATAAACAATTTAAATAGATCTATTATAGACCTCCAAAGGAAATTAGAACAGTCATTAAAAGTATCCCAAACAAAGGAAGCCCAAGGCCAGATAGTTACAGTGCAGAATTCTACCAGACTTTCAAAGAAGATCTAATACTCTTCAAATTATTCCACAAAACAGAAACAGAAGGGACATTGCCCAAATCATTTTATGAGGTCACAGCTACTCTGATACAAACCACATAAACACTCAGCAAAGAAAGAGAATTACAGAAAAATTTCCCTTATGAACATCAATGTAAAAGTACTCAATAAAATACTTGCAAACTGAATCCAAGAACACATAAAAAATAATCATCCACCAAGATCAAGCAGGCTTCACTCCAGAGATGATTCAACCTACGAAAATCTGTCAATGTAATCCACCTTATAAACAAACTGAAAGAAAAAAAACCCCACATGATCATGTCATTAAATGTTGAGAAAACCTTTGACAAAATCTAACACCCCTTCATGATAAAAGTCTTAGAGAGACCAGGGATATAAGGAACATACATGGACATAATAAAAGCAATATACAACAAGCCTATAGACAACACCAAATTAAATGGGGAGAAACTCAAAGAGATTCAACTAAAATAAGGAACAAGACAAGGCTGTCCATTCTCTCCATCTCTATTCGATATGGTACTAGAAGTTCTAGCTAGAGCAATAAGACAACTAAAGGAGATCAAGGGGATATAAATTTGAAAGGAAGATGTTAAACTTTCAGTATTTTCAGATGATATGGTAGTACACTTAAGTGACTCCAAACATTCTACCAGGGAACTCCTGAAGCTAATAAATACCTTCAGTGAAGTTGCTGGATACAAGACTAACAACAACAACAACAACAAAAATCAGTAGCCTTCTTATATACAAAGGATAAATGGGCTGATAAAGAAATCAGACAAACATCTTCACAACCACAAATAAAACAAAATATCTTGATACAGTTAACTAAGCAAATGAAAGATGCATATGACATGAACTTCAAGTTTTTGAAGAAAAAAATTGAAGAAGATATCAGAAGATAGAAAGATCTCCCATTCTCATGGATCAGTAGGATTAACATAGTAAAAATGGCCACCCTACCAAAAGCAATCTACAGATTCAAAGTAATCCCCATTAAAATTCCAACACAATTCTTTACAGACCTTGAAAGAACAATGTTCAACTTCATATAGAAAGCAAAAACCCAGGATAACTGAAACAGTTTGTGCCATAAAATAATTTCTGGAGATATCACTATCCCTGATTTTAAGCATGAACACAGATCTGTAATAATAAAAGCTTCATGGTTATTGGCCTAAAAACAGACAGGTAGATCAATGGAATCTAATTGAAGACTCGGTCATAAATCCACACACCTATGGAAAACTGGTTATTGAAAGGAAGCCAAAATGATACGATGGAAAGAAGGCAGTGTCTTCAACAACTGATGCCAGCATAACTGGATGCAGAAGAATGCAAACAGATCAATGTCTATCACCAAGCACAAAACTCAAGTCCAAGTGGATCAAAGGCCTCAACATAAATCCAGTTCCACTGAGCCTGATGAAAGAGAAAGTGGGAAATAGCCTTGAATGTGTTGGCACAGGAGACCACTTCATGAATAGAACACCCATAGTACAGAATCTAAGATCAATAAGTAATAAATGGGACCTCCTGAAACTGAAAAGCTTCTGTAAGGCAAAGAACAATGTCAATATGACAAAATGGCATCCTACAGAATGAAAAAAGATCTTCACCGACCCCACATCTGACAGAGGGATGATATATAAAATATTTAAAGACCTCAAGAAACTAGACATCAAAATAACAAATAGCCCAATTTAAAAATGGGGTAGAGATCTAAACAGAGAATTCTCAACAGAAGAATCTCAAATGGCTGAGATACACTTAAAAGAAATTTTCAACATCCGTAGTCATCAGGGAAATGCAAATCAAAATGACTCTGAGATACCATCTTACACCTATCAGAAGGGCTAAGATCAAAAACACTGATGACAGCTTATGCTGTAGAGGATGTGGAGCAAGCTAAACACTCCTCCATTGCTGGTGGAGTGCAAACTTGGAAATCAATATGGCAGTTTCTCAGAAGATTGGGAATTGATCTACCACAAGACCCAACTATACCACTCTTGGGCATATACCCAAAGAATGCTCAATCATGCCACAAGGACACTTGCTCAGCTATGTTCATAGCAGCTTTTCAGCAGAAGAAAGGATAAAAAAGTGATACATTTACACAATGGTGTATTACTCAGCTATTAAAAACAATGACATCAGGAAATCTGAAGGCAAATGGATGGGATTAGAAAAAAAATCATTCTGAATGAAGTAATCAAGACCCAGAAAGACAAATAAGGTATGTACTCACTCATAAGTGGGTAATAGCTGTAAAATGAATGATAAACATGCTACAATCCACAGATCCAGAAAGGTTAGGTAACAGGGAGCACCCATGGGGGTATGCATGGATCTCCTGTGGGGACATGAGGGATCCAGTTGGG